GATATTTTGTCAGGAGGGACCAGTTGCTGGAGAAGGATATCATGTTTGGTAAGGTGGAGGGTCAGAGAAAAAGAGGAAGACCCCCAGCGAGATGAATTGGCAAACTGGCAGCATCAATGGGCTCAAGTGTGGCAACAGTAGTGAGGTTGGCCCAGGATCGGACATTGTTTCGTTCTGCTGTGCATAAGGTCGCTATGAGTAGATGCCGACTTGATGGCACCTATCAACAACAACAACTTTGGCAAAGTACTGAATTTTTCTAAAAATGCTTTTTCATCTGCAGGATGAGGATGATGACAAATTGCTTACTTCATAAAGTTATTGTAAATATGAAATGAAATCATGCATATAAAGTATTTAGCAAAAGGCCTGGTAAGCCACCTCAATAAATGTTAGCTGGAATTCTTGTTTTACAATTGTTAGGTTAGACAATAAGTAATAGCAATTATTTGAACATTTTTACCTATAAAGCAATAAATTCATAGGCTTCCACCTAATAGAATGTCAATCCTACCACCTGGCCAACTGGCATCTATTTCTGTTTTCCTTTTTAGTCATTAATATAAGTATCAGTATCTTTGGAACCTTCCTAAGAGAATTAAATCTTGCTTCAACTGGTACTTGGCTCCTAGAAAAAAATCATATTGTAAAATGTACCTTGTCAGTCTTCCTCAAATTTTATATTCATAAGAATCATCTGTGAAGACTGATTAAAATATCAGGAATGGGACCTGATATTAAAGCTTTTTAACAGCTTTTTAACCCTGTTGCTTCCAATGCTTGGATCTATGAACCATGTTTTTTTTTTTGTGTGTGTGTGTGTGTGTGTGTGTGTGTTTAACATTTTACTGTGAATTTAGTGAAGTTTTACATTCAAGAAATCATACAGTTTATTTCATCTCAATGATTACAATCCCTTAAATATAACATCATTTATACCACTTCCTGTTGTGGCATTGTGGGTTAATGCGCTGGACTGCAAGGTAGGTTTGAACCACAAGATTGGCAGTTCCAGTTCACCAGCCTCTCCTCTGAAATCCTATATGGGGTCACTATGAGTCAGAACTTGGTGGAACTTAACAACAACAATTCCACTTCTTCCCTGTGACTCCTGTTTCCATTCCTCCTTCTTTCCAGCCTTTTGTCACTTTTTCACTAGTCTTGTTATCTCTCCTCCCCCACTATATACCTATCTATCTATCTATTGCTTGGCTGAAAATCAAGCCATGGGAGTGAGTTCAGTTCCAGACCTGAAGTGTGGCCAAGTGCCATAGTTTTAGGGGTTCTAAGGAGCTCTGGTAGTGTAGTGGTTACAAATCAGGCTGCGAACCACAAGGTCAACAGTTTGAAACTACCAGTTGTTCCATGGGAGAAAGATGAGGCTTTCTGCTCCCATAAAGATTTACAGCCTCGGAAATCCTGTACAGGGTCGTTATGAGTCGGAACCGACTCCACGGCACATAACCACCACCATCAGTCTCTATTCGATCAATAAGCCTGGCCTTTTTTATGATTTGAAGTTCTGTTTTACATTTTCTCTTACTCTATCTAAGACCTTCTAATATGATCCGTTTGGTAGTCAAGCACCATCTATCTCTTCTGGTCTCAGGGTTATGGTGACTGATGTTCACATGGACCATGTTTTTAATAGTATGATGTTCCTGGACAAAGAGTTCTAAAATTACCCTTCCTTTTATGATTCTTTTCCCTAGCCTGGGTTCTGGTACTAAACCCTGCTTTAGGTTTAGTTCTGTCTCCAGATCTGAAACTAATTAAAGGGCTCCAGTTCAGCTAATTGGAGTCCCTAGTTAGCATAGATGGATAAGCACTGGGCTACTAACCAAATGTTGGTAGTTTAAATCTACCCAGAGAGTCCGTAGAAGAAAGGCCTGAACATCTACTTCCCAAAGCCATTGAAGATCCTATGGGGTGCAGTTTTCCTCCAAAACATATGGGGTTGCCATGAGTCCAAATCAACAAGACAGCAACTTGTTAGTTCAGCTGATCAGATGATGCTGACCAATCAGTTTTGGTGGGCGTCCTGCTCTGGTCTTGCGCACCAGCCCTGTTACTGAGTGTAGGCATCATTCTTAGTCTCAGAATTTTTTAGTGTGACTTGTTCCATGCAGAGAAAATCACTAAAGTTTGAAAACATGTCATGTGAAGAAATTTTTTATTTGAGATCAACATCTGGCAAAAAATTGAAGAGTCACTTATGAATGAGTAACCTATGAATAAGTAACTAAAGAAAAAGTTACAAGTGCTTGAAATGTACGTTTGTTTCCACCAAAAATAGTCATAGACCCACCATTTATTGTGGTCTACATGCCAGGAAGCCCTAAGCTGTACATTTTATCATTAATCAATCCAGCAATCTAAACAGTAGGTATTTTCGTTCCTGCTTCAACTGTCATCTGTGCTGGACCCAAATCTGTAGTGAGTGGCAAAACCGGCAGCACATTCGCTGTGATCTTTCCACTGCCCTGTTGCCACGTAAAATAAAAAGCATTTTAAATACCTTGGGATGAGCCAGTAGCAAGTTGGCAGCTTCCTCAAAATAGCCCAGATCCACCTCCAGCAGCTGTTGGGGCAGATCTTCATAAGCAAAATATGCTATTGCCAGTACTACAAAGCCATGGGAAGCCAGAAGACTGGCCCGAAATTCAACCAGGCCCCCAATGCCTCCAAACAGATCCATGACTCCAGGGAATGGGCCTTCTCCTGAGAACAAGAAAGAAAGAAGAGAATAGGATCAGAAAGGTTAAATGAGTGTACAGTGAAAGTCAAACCTGATCAAAGCAAATATTTCCATTTTCTCTCTCTCTCTTGCACACACACACAAATAGCATGCTAGCTTTAAAATATTATGGGAAATGCTTGCTCTCCAATAATCTGATGTCGTATGCTTTTGTTTTGATTTCCATCTACAATGTTTTCTATATCACCATCTTTGCTGTGGCTTAATGCACTGGAATGCAATGTTGCTTTGAACCACAAGGTTGGTAGCTCAAGCTCACCAGCTACCCCTCGGAAACCCTATATAGGGTCACTATGAGTTGAAACTGACTCTATGGCACTTTAAAAGCAACAACAATAATTGCTGTAACAGAAATACAAGTAGATGGCTTTAGCAAACAGAAGTGTTTTCTCTCACAGTTTAGGAAACTAGTCTTGAGTTCAGAGTTCCAGCTCTCAGAGATGGCTGGCTCTCTCTGTGGCTTACAGTTTAGGAGGAAGGTCCTTGTGTCCTTTCAGCATGTGAGGGTCTTGCATTCTTTAGCACTCTCCATGTGTCTTGGGTCTGATCTTTCCCTGGGTCTAAGATGTTCTCAGCACAGGGCCTCTGAGACCACTTTGCTCCTTCCTTTTCTTTCTCTGGTCATTTCTTTCTTATTTATTTATTATATTACTTCACTTATTTTTACTTCAAAGATGGTGCAGGCTACACCCAGGAAAAGGTCTCTTAAATCGGATCAGAATTGTGACAGAATTAAGGATGTTATATTCCACCCTTAATCCTCTTATAGTTGATTGATTGGCTTATCACATCAGATCAAATGTTTACTTAACTGCCATATCACATCTTTATCTAACTGCCAAGTTGACACATATATTAGGGAATACACAATTCAATACATTGCAATCACCAGTCATTAGTCTCACCTGGAGGGAGAAAAAGGGCTCCTCTTATTCGACCTTCCCGGATCTCCACCCGTTGCATCCCAGGGACTGAGAACCATCGTTGCAGAGTCTGACTGGCTATGGGCTGAGCCGTGGTTAAAGAAGGGAAGTAAATAGTGTCACATAGATCCAGAGTGACAAAAAAGGGGCTGTTCATCACATCCTGCTTCATCAGCCTCCGGAATATCTTCTCAGGCTTCAGGGACCAGAAGAGACCCATGGGATGGACCCCCACATAGTCACCTCCAAATGCAGGGTCCTGTTCCAGGTCCACCTCACCAGCCTTATTAGCCTTGTAGAAGGCTGATGACTGGAACAGGTTTCCCTTATCATCCTTCAGAGTCGCCCTTAAAATCACCATCTGAGATGGAAGCAAGCCTGTTATGCGGATATGCACTGGTTCATCTGCAAGCGCCCTTGCTGGTGTGACTATCAGCTGGGACATCGGCAACCGTCCAAGGGACTTGTCCTGCAGTGGAAGAGTTGGGGACTTAGATTTCAAGGGAAGACAGTCCAAGGCTTATGTTAGTCTAACCAAATTAAACCATGAGGGACTCAGTGGGAAATATGCAGGATATTTTGAGGATAGAGAGGAATATGTGCACAGAATGCTCATTATTCTCATGTTATAAATAAGAAAACAGATTAAGTAACATGCTCGTGATAGCGTAACTAAGAATTCAACACCACAGCCTCCTGGCATATGTATTTATTATCACCCTGAATTAAATCTTAGTTTTGTGTTTTTAGTAAATTGAACTTTAATCCTGTAATTATGATCATACTTGTGTGACCTGTTTTACAGGGTGTTTGTCAGAATCTAAAAGGATAATGCACAATAAAGTCCTTTGAAACAGTGCTTTTCTCCCGTTCCCAGATCTGCTAGGCATAGAGTTATATAAACAAGCAATATATTGTGGAGCTTTCTTCTTTGTTTTTAGTATTTAATTCCTACCAGCTTCTGCAAGATATGCAGGTCTTTGCAGAGTTACAGTTAACTGTTCTTTTTAAGGAAAAACAAAACATCATGATCTTTTTCTTTTTTACACCTTTCCAAAGGAGTGGTAAAGGTCAAATTTGGTTAAACTGAACTGCTGACCTTTAGTTAGCATCTGAGTTCTTAACTATTGCTCCAGCCAGATGCCCTTCATTGTAACCTCTACTTAGCTAAAAATATAAGACAATGAATCTTTCAGGGAGCCTGCAATCCTAATTCTATAATCTGTAGCCCTGCAAAAATAAGACTCTCATTAACTTCTCAGGTCTTCTTTAGATCTTGTCACATCTGCCAAGATCGTCTTTTTTTTTTTTTTAAGTTTTTATTGTGAATTGAGTGATACTTTACATGGGAGAACATCAGTTTTATACTCTTCCTATCGTATTTTGTTTCATTGCAATGATTATAATCCCCTCCGTGCAACATCATTCAACCATATTTGCTTCTATTCTCTCTGTTGTTGGTGTTTTTTTTGGGTTGTTTTTTGGATGTACACAAAAACACTCAGAAATATATAATCAGTTCAACAATCGAAGAGCACGTTCTACAAGCCTGCCTCCTGGCCACCAGCACACAGTCTTTCTCTTTCCATGAGTCTAGAGTCCTCAGCTGCTCTCTCTCTCCATGTCATCATATCTGCCTCCATCTCTGGTGTCACTCCTTCTCTGGTTAGGTCCTACATTCTGCTCATGCTCTTCTCTCTTGATGGTCCTAGGGACCTTTTTTCTGGAATGTAAGATTAGTTACTCCCCCCCCCCTTTATGTTAAGCAACTTCTACCTTTACAGTTGTGACAATCACAATTAGTCATAATAACAATTACTCACTATTGAATTATAAGAATCTTATCCCCATCTCCTTTCACCAAACCCATCTAGATAAGATGAAAACTATGCAGTGGGGATTCAACCTTCCCCTGCACACTCTGAAACTAAACTCCCTCTTGAAAACTTGTAAGTCAGTCAGTCACTTCTTGCTTTTATAAGACCCCATCCCATTTTAGGTAGCCAATAATTAAGTTGCCTGTCCCTATCAAACCGATGTACAGAGGGGATAGGATTGATCCTTGATGTGAAACTCCTTTCCTCTCAGTTGATATTTCAAGATACTACTCCATAAGTATAGGTCAAATTGATCAAACTGTAGCAATTTACACTTGTTTCCTTTATTGATTTTTTAAATCTTCTTCTAGTCAAGTTTCCACCACTTGTCTGTCAGTTTGTTGTACTGTGGTGGCTTGTGAGTTGCCGTGATTCTGGACGCTATGCCACAGGTATTTTAAATAACAGCAGGGTCATCCATGGTAGACAGGTTTCAGATGAGTTTCCAGATGAAGACAGACTAGGAAGAAGGAGTGATGAACTATTTCTGAATATTTAGTTACTGGAAACCTTATGAATAGCAGAGAAACACTGTCAGATACAGTACCGGAAAATGAGACCCTTAGGTTGGAAGGCACTAGAAATGTGACTGGGGAAGAGTTGCCTCCTCAAAGTGGAGTTGACCGTGATGATGTGAATGGAGTAAAGCCCAAGGGAGTAAAGCCCGCTGGACCTTCATTTGCTGATGAGGCACAACTTAAAATGAAGAGAAACAGCTGAAAATATCCAATAATAACTGGAAACATGGAATGTATGAAGTATGAATCTGGGAAAATTGGAAATTGTCAAAAATGAAATGGAACACATAAACATTGATATCTTGGGCTGAAATGGACTGGTATTGGCCATTTTGCATCTGACAACCATATGGTTTACTACGCCGGGAATGACAAATTGAAGAGGAATGGCATTGCATTCATTGTTAAAAAGAACATATCCAGATCAGTCATGAGGTGCAGTGCTGTCTGTGATAGGATAATGTCCATGATCCTACAGGGAAGTCCAGTTAATACCACTATTATTCAAATTTATGCACCAACCACTAAAGCCAGTGAGGATGAAATAGAAGAATTCTACCAACTTCTTCAATCTGAAATCGAGCAAACATGCAATTAAGATGTATTGATCATTACTGGTGATTGGAATGCAAAGGTTGGGAACAACAAGAAGGATCAGTGGTTGGAAAATACGGCCTTGGTGATAGAAATGATGCTGGAGTTTGCATGATAGAATTCTGTAAAATCTATGATTTGTTCATTTCAAATACCTTTTTTAAACAGCGTAAGAGACATGAACCTCACCAGATGGAATACACAGAGATCAAATTGACTACATCTGCAGAAACAGATGGTGGAAAAGCTCCGTATCATCAGTCAAAACAAGACCATGGGCAAATTTTGGAACAGATCATCAGTTGCTCATATGCAAATTCAAACTGAAGCTGAAGAAAATGAAACCAAGTCCAAAGAGCCAAAATATGACCTTGAATATATCCCACATCTCTATGAATTTAGAGATCATCTGAAGAACAAATTTGATACATTAAGCACTAAAACCCCTGAAGACAAGAAGAGTTGTCGGATGATATCAAGAACATCATACATGAAAAGAGCAAAAAGTCATTGAGAAGACAAGAAAGAAGGAAAAGATCAAAATGGACGTCAGAAGAGACACTGAAACTTGCTCTCCAGAATAGAGATGATAAAGCAAATGGAAGAAATGAGGAGGTACAAGAGCTGAATAGAAAATTTCAAAGGTCAGCTCAAGAAGACAAAGTCAAATATTAGAATAAAATGTGCAAAAATCTAGAGTCCGAAAACCAAAAAGGAAGAACATGCTCAGCATTTCTCAAGCTGGAGGAACTAAAAAAAGAATTTAAGCCTCGACTTTCATTATTGAAGAATTCTCTGGGCAAATTATTGAATGATGCAAAAAAGCATCAAAAGAAGATGGAAGGAATACACAGAGTCACTGTACCAAAAGGAAACGGTTAATGCTCAACTGTTTCAAGGTACATTGAAGAAACTGGCAAAGAACAAGGCACCAGGAATTGATGGAATAAAAATTGAAACCCTTCAAGAAAGTGAGACAACACCGGAGCCACTCACTCATCTCTGCCAAGAAATTTGGAAGACAGCTATCTGGCCGACTGATTGGGAGAGATCCGTATTTGTGCCCATTCCAAAGAGAGGTGACCCAATGAAATGCGGATATCATCGGACAATCTCTTTGATATCCCATGCGAGAAAAGTTTTGCTAAAGGTAATACAGAAACGGCTGTAAGCATACACTGACAAAGAATTTTCAGAGGTTCAAGCCGGATTCAGAAGAGGCCGTGGAATGAGGGATATCATTGCTGATGTCTGATGGATCTTGGCTGAAAGCAGAGAACATCAGAAAGATGTTTACCTGTGCTTTATTGGCTATGCAAAGACTTTAGATTGTGTGGATCATGACAAGCTACGGACAACATTGTGCAGTATGAGTATTCCGGAACACTTAATTGTGCTCATGAGGAATCTGTACATGGATCAAGAGGCAGTTGTTTGAACAGAACATGGGAACGCTGAATGGTTTAAAATTAAGAAAGGTATGTAACAAGGTTGTATTCTTTCACCATACTTATTCAACCTGTATGCTGAGCAAATAATCTGACAAAAAACATGGCATCAGCATTGGAGGAAGACTCATTAACAACCTGCGATATGCAGATGATATAACCTTGCTTGCTGAAAGTGAAAAGGACTTAAAGTATTTACTAATGAAGATCAAAGAGCACAGCCTTTGGTATGGATTATATCTCAATGTAAAGAAAACAAAAATCCTCACCACTGGACCAATAAACATTCAACGGGGAAAAGATTAAAGTTGTCAAGGACTTCATTCTTCTTGGATCAACTATCAATATTCATGGTAGCAGCACTCAAGAAATCAAATGACAGTGCATTAGGCAAATCTGCTGCACAAGACCTTTTTAAAGTGTTGAAGAGCAAAGATGTCAGCTTGAGGACTAAGGTGCGCCTGACCGAAGCCATGGTATTTTCAATAACCTCATATGCAAATGAAAGCTGGGCAGTGAATAAGGAAGACCATAAAAGAATTGATGCTTTTGAATTATGGTGTTGGAAGAGAATATTGAAAGTGCTATGGGCTGCCAAAAGAACCAACAGATTTGTGTTGGAAGAAGTGCAGCTAGAGTGCTCCTTGGAGGCCAGGATGGTCTAACTTTGTTTCTCATACTTTGGACATATTGTCAGGAGGGACCAGTCACTGGAGAAGAATATCACGTTTGGCAAGGTGTGGTTCAGAGAAAACGAGGAAGACCCCCATTGAGATGGATTGGCAAAGTGGCAGCATCAATGGGCTCAAGTGTGGCAACAATTGTAAGGTTGGCCCAGGACAGGGCATTGTTTCGTTCTGTTGTATATTGGGTCACTATGAGTTGGTGGCACCTAACAACAATAACAGTTGAGTTTTGATCATCCAGCCATTTAAGCTGGGTCAAATTGGGTGCTGTTTGCAAGTTTGGGTGTTCTTGTGCATCTCCCCTCACTTCATATCAGCAGGA